CTAATGATCCTTTTGAGAATCAGATTAACTTTGTTTTAAATTCCTGCTCATGACCAAAGGAGTTGAGAGCTATCTTCCTTAATTAAAGGACTTCCAGCAATCAAATTCTACGCATATAAACATAATTGGCTTCATATAGACATAACTGGAAAGTTAATAACAAACGTGAAAGAAGGTTGTGTTTTATGTTTTCCTGTGATTAACTCAATTAGTGAAGAGTTAGAGAAAACAAATTGAAAAAAAGAAAGGAGTGTTCTGGTGCGAGTGAAATTCGGTGCTTTGTCTGTGTGGCAGTATTGTTTGTTTTTTTTTTTTCCTAAAGGAAAGCACCAGAAGACAAAAAAAACCCAACAACTCACGCTTCAAGTGTGGGAGATATGCTTCAAAGCTGTGGCTAGTAGAGAACCACACCTAACACCCGTAACATAACCAAAATCAGAAATGAATATTTTTCCACGTTTTCTCTTTTCTTGCACACAGGTAAATCTAGAAATGTATTTCTATGGTGAGTTTGTATCTCAGATGAACAAAAATTCTTTCTTCACACTTCAAAAATGATATCCTGATGTGTCATTATAAGCTGTGCTGACTACCAATCTTAATACTATAGGAAAACACCTGCATCCTGCTCCTCTAACACCTTGGATCAAAAACATCTTTAAGAATAACAAGAAGATAACAATTTAAGGTTATTGCTAAGGGTATAGTATCTACCTTTTATTATAGAAAAAGGAAATGGAAGGTGAAATTCAGAAATACAGATGACAGGTTTAGGCTCTGAATGGCACAAATATCCCATCACACTCTCCAAAGATACTAATTTTTCTTTTTCATCCTTCAGTGCTTCAAATCCAATACAAGTATCAGGGATAAGGGTAACATTGCACACACCGTTATTCATTTTTTAAATAGTTAATAAAATGATGAGTGTCTGGTCCCTGTGGATGGGACCTGCCCAACTGGGCACGAGTAGCCTGTTCTCTGCTCACAGGAATTGAAAGGCTTGCAAATTGTAGAGATTTCCACGACAGCTGCTATGTCCTACCTCAGTTCAGCACTTTTGTCTCCCACTCCCACTTACCAGGCAGAGAAGAGGAAAGAGTATTTTGACACATTGTTTATTGCTGTTCAAATCCTTGCGGCCTTCGATCTCAGCTCTCCTCCCTGCCACATGCTATGGAGCTGTAACACAAACCTGTCCTTCCTCCCCATCCTCCTGGTTTCAGACCCGTCTGCAGACCCGTTTTACACTGTGTAAAACCAGTTGTGGTGGCAATACCTGGTCCTCCAGCCCTGGCTGTGGTCTACCCTGTTTTTCCCCCTCTGTGAGATTTGCTGCAGGGACATCCACAGGAGTACGGACCTGGGCACTGAGCCCAGCCCCAGATGGCACAGACTTTATACCATTTAATCCCTTTTCCTCCGACTGCCACAATCACCAAGAACCTCTTCCTGTGCAAGGTCGAAATACTGCAACTCGTCTCTTCCAATGACTCTGCACGTGCTCCGAAATCTCCTCTTAAAACATCTTTTTGCCCTCACATTCCTCTTCCCTTCCACCTTTGCGGTAATGTTCTCGCAATGCATTTGTGATGCATTTTACATGGAAGAAACCACCCCCGCTAAAGCCAACTATACCAGCATGCTGCGTTGCTGTACCTTGAAGGATATTTCAGTTGTCATAGTGAATCCGTGTGTAATGACCGGCTCTTCTTCAGCTGTTCGTCCTTTCCAGCAGTCCAGCTCCACACAGCGGCAGCCTGACAAAAGCACTTGGCGATACATCTCCACCGATGAGTTACCGGCCAGCTGTCCAGCTGCGACAGCACAAGAACATGAAAAAAGGGAAGTCATTTTGGGCCTCGGGAATAAATACAAATAATCTAATAATGATTAGAGTTAACAGCATCTTTTACCCTTGGCTGAGAGGAATAATGCTCAAAGGCATACAAAAACCATAAGGACATAATGGAAATAACTTAGGCACAGTCAGTGTCATGGTTTGGGTTCTGCCCTCGGTTAAATTGCTGTGAGCAAAGAGAAATAACCGAACTGAAGCCAGTTTGAAAACTTCTGATAGACAGCATTGAATACATAAAATAAAGTAAAATAAAATAAAATAAAATGGCTTAGTTCTAAAAGAAGAATCCTTTGACAAGCAGTGTGAAATTCAGAGGCAACTCAGGACAGCAAGATCACATTTTCTCATACCATGCAATACAGTTTAGTACAGGATAAAATAAACCTCCTGCACAGTCACTAATGGTACCATACTAGGTCTCAAATCAATATTTAATACACTAATCACCACACTGAGTTGGTCAGTTAAATTTCCTGATGTGCTACTGTATTATGTAGGGAGAAATTTAATTAAACTACCAGTTTCCAACAATGACATAATATAAATTTAAAAATAAACAAGGAAAACTCAGCTTTTCCCAAACTCAGGAAGCATTAAAAAAACCCTACAAAAAAAACCCCAAACCAACAAAGAAGTCCAGTTGTATTCAAGGAAGGATATCCAGCCAGTGTGTCTTGATCTGCTGCAACAGGTTTGATTCCAGTCATATGGATACAAATTTCTTGCAGCAGAGAGGTAAAGTTAATGGAAGAATGGCTCAGTGCTTGGTTTAGATGGGAATAAAATGGACGCAGTTTCCTGCTTTCTAGCAGACCTCCTGAGAAGACCTTCCTGGATTTCTTGAAGGGAATTCACTCGCTTTTTAGGGAGGCAGTGAGTTCATTTACGCTACAGATTCTTTGCTGATGGGGGACATATAAATACTTCATCCAGACTGGCATATAATATAATGCAGAGTACTGTAATCCTCATTTTATTGTCTCTGTGGTTCTGCGTTTAGGTTTTATGCTGGGAACTACACTTTTTGCAGTTTGCTTCACTAAATAGCATTGTCTGTTTTCTCTGTGTTTTTACCTTCCACTAAAAACAGAAAAACCCTTGTATTTGAAAATTCCTGTTTACCATTTGTGTCTGATACATGAGCTGGAGCACTCATAAATGCTCCACAAGGTGTTAACATTACTCCTATTGAAATCCGTAAGATTTCTCAGCTCCTGCTGGAACCAATGGGAAATACATGTCAATAACAGAAGAATTTGGCCAGTGCTGGAAGATTTCTGAAAATCCAAATGAAGTCAGCAAAGTGACGTGTCTTTTTTTTTTTTTAATTAACTTTTTCTTGCGTTTCCGCTTTGATTATGGCAGGTTATCTTTACTCACACAAAAGCCTTTTTGGTGCAATCCCAATATCTGGGGTAAGCAGTGGCTCTTTTTCTTTGCAGGATGCAAACAGGCACGAGCATGGGGTAGGGTACAACAGCACATTTCTGTGTACTCATCCCTAAGCATCGGCTTATGAAAACTTAGCTCTCATTACGGATCCACTGAACTCTGCTGCCTACAAAACCACATTCACTTAGAAAACGGTTTTCTTGTTATCTTTCTTTTCCCTCATAGCACTTTGAGTTTGGATTAACAAACTATTTTATGATTAGCAAACTCTACCACACTTCCTGAGAGACTACTGGCCGTTAATATTGCTAAGCGTTTTGGACTACAAGATCCTTAACCTTCAAAAGTGCTTAAGTAAATCATGACATGCATCGCTTGCCATATGACACTTCTCCACACTACCTTATTAATAAGGCTTAGACATT